GCATATATTATAGATTCATTATTAGGGGGAGTAGATATAATGATGAACATTGGCAATCATACCACAACTTCTTTTTTGTAAGAACGTACATGTGTAGATTTTCGTCTTTTACTGTAAACGACAGTGTCCCCGGGAGTCAAAGCCGAATTCAAACTTGTGTAAATTTCTGAAACATACATTTCATTATTTTACCCAATGTAAAGCAAAACAAATAATACCGTTTTGATCTATAAAACCAAGGCAACCCTTTATACTAGTCAAAAGTTGCTGGATCGTGATAGATGCATACGAAACTTCAATTAATTGTTTGTATTTTTCAATCTTTTATATCCGATAAAGATGAACACAAAATTTATCGGATAAAAACTACCATTTTTTCTATAAGATAAAATTTATCCTTATTGGAGTCAAATTTGTCATATGGATTCATAAAGGACAAAAAAATGTCCTCAGTAACGGAACAAAAAATACCCCCATGGTAAAATAATCCGTCATTCTTTTATACAAAGTACTATTGTGAATTATTTTTTCGGACATTAATCTTTTAGACATACATTAAAAACGGTGTCCTTGATATGCAACCATGAACACAATGAAAAGTGAATCTGTGAAAGTGTTCCATGTTTATTCCATTTAAATAAAGACTTGTTATGATAATACAATATATTTAACAATTTTATCAAAAAATTTAAATAAAAAAGATTTATTTATCTTAAACTCGTAAACACAATTTCAAGTTTAAAAAGTTCCTCAATTTAAAATCCTTCTTAAGGAATACGGGATATATTTGCGTGATCTTATACTTGTTTAATTAAAAAAATGCCTTCAAATACATATAATGTTTATTTGTATTCAATTTTCCACAAAACATATTTAGCTTATTTTAAATGAAAATAAAGAACAGAGAATAAAAACACTGTTGAAGAGAAAATACATATTCGTGTTAAATTCGCCTCAGTTTAATTTGTTAATTCAAGTTTGACATCTAAAATCTTAATCCGCAATCCACATTTACCCGACAATCTTGTATATTGTATTTTCTCAATGGAATAACCTTACGTGCACGTGACCATCAGAAACGAAGACAAAAATTATATTTGTAATGGTATTTATCAAAACTTAAATGTTTGAATATTTAGTAGAATATGAATTTGCCAAATAAGCGAAGAATTATAATCTTGCATTGTTCAACATTGGAGAAATGACTCAAGTTCAACATTAATCATGTTAATACTGATTCAATATTTTATTATAGTCTCACCACATACAAACATAAAATGAGAATCACAGAAATAAACATAAAAAATTAAAACATTTGCATTGTATGTACCAATCTTAAAAAGAATAATGAGAGACTTTTAAGACACAATATATTTACTCATTTACATTTAAAATTTACAGTGTCCACCTGTACTATATGAAAATAAAACATTTTTTCTTTGAGAACTAGGAAATAAAATGCCGTTTCTTTTCAATGAAATATTGTTGATGTTTTTGGCAACTATAGCAGCAACATTGCCGTTATTAAATAAAAATATAAATTTTTCGCTATCTGATAATTAAAGGTTAAAATGTTCATTAAAATGTTTAGCTTAATGTATCATAATTTGTCTTAAATCTACATATAATGGGCATTTAAAAATGACATGAAGTTCATCTTCAATAGTAGAGCTACAACACATGTCATCTCGTAGACTTCTTTTCTTTCATACTTTCCAGTTTCTATTTTTAGTAGAGCTACCCCACATCTAAATTTTGCAAAAGCACTGTTGTTTTTATAATTGGCGGAATATTTTTTAACAAATAACAGTTGGCCAACAGTATATTTTTAAGCCCATTTCGCTCAGTTGAATAGAAATTCCAATTTCAACTGTTCTGTCGTAGAAATGTCATAATGTTATTGTTTGTACGTAGAACATGTATCATTATATTAAAATGTGTCAGTCCCAGCCAAGATTTACTGAATAACCACGAAATATTTACAGATGATAAATAAATTTTACACAAAAATTCATGAATCTGTATGAACGTTATGTACGATGAAGTTAATTAAGTGTTCACAAGAAAGTAAGTATGAATGTAAATTTTATTTAAAGTCGGAACATATATATACACTTTAACCGTGAGATAAAATATAAGCTTTGATGAGCTCTATAACCGACTATCATATAAAAACCGCAATGAATGAACGTTACCCGATTAGAGATGAACGTTTGACAAATGCACGTTATCTGATGTACACAGTTATACACGATTGACGAACGCACGATACACGGTTAAGAATGAATGATTGATGAACGCACGATACACGCACGATACACGCACCATACACGATTAAGAATACACGATGCACGCACGTTACACGGAAATTACACGGAACGATGAATGATGAGCGCACGATTGGTACACGCACGATACACGCACGCAACACGCACGATACACGATGAACGCACGGAATAATGGTCAGTTTGAATTTTAGAAGGTCTGTATATATCAAGATAATACTTTAGTTGCTTCAAACCTAATTAAATGTAATCTCAGCTGTATGTACCAAAAGGTGAAATGTAACAGAGCTATTTCTGTATTACTCAACCATGTTATATATATTTTTATAAAAAAACTTTATTATAATAACAGATCATACTTTCTCTATTTGTATACATCATTACATTATTAAGTGTTACTACACTTAGACGGGGATTGATTATAAAAACTTGTACATAATAAAACAAATACAGACAGGAAACAATTATATTGTTTCCAAAATTGTTTATACGTGTATATCAATTTTGAAAATCGTTATAATATGTTAATTACTCTTTCAGCTTACCATTTTCATATCTTTTTTAATTTTCATATTTTTTAAAAAGATACAATCATTAACATTGTTTTCGTTTATCATGTTCCTATTGTTTTTTAAGATTTCCATGTATTCTTCTCTGTTCTGTTGTGATCCTTGTAATGATGTTATTTTGGTGGTTTTTTTTATCATCATTATGAACATTCTGAACAGTTTTTTTTGGTTTTGTTCTTCATTACTTGATTTACTCGTTTATTATTTCAACATCATTGTTACAATCATCAGCTTGTATATTTGTCATTATTAATGGTTCTTTGCTATTTGTGTGTTCATTATTTGATTCATTTTCAGAGAAGTAAATTTTACAATCCAGTCATTCGGACAATTTGGCATAATATACACTTTTAATAAACATTTATGGAATATTTCTTCATTGTGACTAGTAAAATTATTGTTGCAATTGTAATTTTGCTAACTTTTGGTTAACCAAGATGAAAGATTTTGTCATAATATGTTCACCTAATATTCTACTAATAACTAGTCTGTTCGCCAGTTTGTGAGTTTAGCACCCATTCTCATCCCTTTTCCTAAAAAGACTCCGGATGTTGCATCATGCTAAATTAAAATTTGTATATTTAAATGTGTAGTAAAATACATATTGCTCTGCTTATGATGAACATTCTTGGTAAAATCTTTATTGTGATGTCAAGAAAAAACTTCAAGAAATTTATTGAATGAAATCATGTTTGTGCACCAAACCTGTTTGATACTAACTTTGCCTTAAGTAGCTGCAAGCCAGATCAATGCAAGTATAAGTTGTTAAGATATATATACATTCTTTTAAGTCAGGATTTGAAATATAAATGTATCATAAAAACCACTGCACCACCTATTCTAAGTGTAGCTTACAATTTAAAATCAAGAGTAAAGATCAGAGGGAATCGGTTAGCGGACATATATTTATTTTAATCATTGCAATTTTATTTGTTTTTGTATTTCCTATTTGTTTTATATCATTTACACTGGCACCACGATTTGTATATTTACAAGCCGTGTGCAGTTTACTATCCATATCAGTAAACTGAAAAATCCTAATATATAAGTCGCCATTTTGAATTCCCCCTTAAGGCTTCCTTGAATACAAAATGTCACGGCGAAGCAACGTGACTGGTAAACGTGTCGTTTTGCAGGAACCTAGACAAAATGGGGGATAAATTAGCCATTACCTGAATGGAACGATAGCTTTACATTTATTTGACAAACTGGTTGACAGGAACAGAGAAGTCCTGGTTGTAATTAAATTGACATCAAACATTCATAAAGATAAATAACATAATCAATCTGACGCTATTTATCCTCAATTAGTAATTCACATTTTTAAATTGGCGAAAACTGTTTTTTGAACTTTTTGCATACCATTGTGAACTTCTATTATTTTTTCCTATTATCAATCCAATTGTTTCCAAGGTAATTAAAATTATATATCAACTAATATGGACATACTTGGACAACATTCTGGTGGTGATCGAGTCGATAAAATTCAATAAAACTTAAATCAATTGTTTTCAATTTATATAATTAACCTCTAAAAAGAACCAAGTTTAGTTACGTGAGCGTCAGATATTTTTGAGTAAGGAAATCAGAGCATTCAGAGTACTATAAGAAAGGCTTTATAAATCGATTATAAACAAGCAGTTATGCTAAAGGACCTGTCTGACTTCGTGATATTATAGCTTTCATACACATGATATGGACAACTATAGTAGTTGATTTGAAAACACAGGCTATGGACATGTAGAAAAGAGGGTATAATTCTTTGACCCTAGAAATGCTCAATTAAAGTCCACCTACACCGGTCATGCCGGTGTCAACCTACATTGAAATTGATACAAATACGGTAACATAAATAATTTTTGATATATGCAAATTAATCATTAGCAATGCAGTGATACCGTCTGAAATCAAGCGTTTTAAATTCTTTTAGAGCAGACCTTGAAGATGATATCCTTTATCATTCATGTTTAAAGCCATGCATGAATAATGACATTATAAACATGTGTCAGTGTGTATGCATTATTTGTTCAAAGTTTTCAAACTTCACATTTTGATGCTTACTATTTTCTACGTATATTTGTTTGTATTTATGAATATGAAAAATGTAATGCAGAAATAAATTTCAAAAAGTGTTATTTTTCAGGCTATTGTACAGCAATCAGATAAAAACGTTAAATGAAAATTTATTCAAAGGTTTGACTTCTCAAGACTTGTAAGTAAATTAAATTGAAAAAAAAGAACCCTTTCAATCATGTTTTGCTGTGTGCTGTCGCATTAAATCTCATTTCTGATTGAATATATATTTTACCTAAAATCACATTCTGTGATGGTAATTTCTTTAGTCCTTTAATATTTAATTTTGAAAACTTTTTGCAATTTACCTAGAAATATGTGTATTTCATTTATAATTTAATTTCGTCATCCATTTAAGTCATATCATTACTTAAAAATAAATAAATAAATAAATGTTCTTAGAATTTTTCGAATGAATAGATAAGATAATTTTAAGTCATCTGAATTAAGTCAATACACATATTTAATTGTACCTTATATGACAAATTAGCTAGAAGGACCTGGCTTTTATCAAATTGAGATCAAGTCTTTAAAAAAAAGAATAATATTATCAATCTGCCGATATACACCCTCGATATGTATTTAACTTTTTTAAACAACAACAAAAAATGTGAATTTGAACTACTAGTATTTGAACGCAACTATCCCGTCGAAATTGAAATAAATGATACCACAGATACAGTTAAGTCTGCCACTCATCTTCATTTACAACCAGGGTTTCCGCTGGCGGTCGACATTTTCGCATTTTGCGAAAAAATAAAAGTTCTGGCAATTAAAAATCGTTATTGGCGAAAGAAATATAACGGTTCAACTTCGCCCTTCTTGTTTACTTTCTTCGGGTTTCTCTGGCTTTTTCCCTGATCAGACATAATAATGACGAGTTCAAGGTGTATTCCCAGTATTGTCTGATCAGGGAAAAAGCCAGAGAAACCCGAAGAAAGTAAACAAGAAGGGCGAAGTTGAACCGTTATATTTCTTTCGCCAACAACGATTTTTAATTGCCAGAACTTTTATTTTTTCGCAAAATGCGAAAATGTCGACCGCCATGGAAACCCTGGTTGTAAATGAAGATGAGTGGCAGATTTAATTGTATCTGTGGTATCATTTATTTCAATTTCGACGGGATAGTTGCGTTCAAATACTAGTAGTTCAAATTCACATTTTTTGTTGTTGTTTAAAAAAGTTAAATACATATCGAGGGTGTATATCGGCAGATTGATAATATTATTCTTTTTTTTTAAAGACTTGATCTCAATTTGATAAAAACCAGGTCCTTCTAGCTAATTTGTCATATAAGGTACAATGAAATATGTGTATTGACTTAATTCAGATGACTTAAAGTTATCTTATCTATTCATTCGAAAAATTCTAAGAACATTTATTCATTTATTTATTTTTAAGTAATGATATGACTTAAATGGATGACGAAATTAAATTATAAATGAAATACACATATTTCTAGGTAAATTGCAAAAAGTTTTCAAAATTAAATATTAAAGGACTAAAGAAATCAGACAATACTGGGAATACACCTTGAACTCGTTACGATTTTGATAGTACAATCAATAATCAGCTGATTGCATTTTATAGCTATCGACAACAAAGGATTATAATTAATAAAGGTGTTGATTGTATTGTTTCATGAAATGGTGTGGTTAAATGGCCTCTTATGTCAATTGAAGGATTTTTTACAACTTTGATTGAAATAATTGTTTTGAAGTCGTTTTAGCGACGCAAGTGTTTGAAGCATATTTTACGTCTCTTCTTTTTCTTTTGACGATGGTTTGAAAAAAAACGGTTGTTATGACGAAAAATGTTCAAAAGTGAGAAAAATCGGACTTTCAATTTTATCCTATAACTTTTGATAGAAATAATTGTTTTGAAGTGGGTAATTTACAATCGTTTTAGCGACGCACGTGTTTGAGGCATAGTTTTACGTCCATACTTTTCTTTATTGATATTCTGGAAAAGAAAATATTCAAAAGTAAGAAAAATCTCTGACTAGTCTTTATCCTTCAATTAGACGGGAAGTATCCGATAAACTTATTGAAGATGAATCCTGTGTTCCCCGGCAGAAGTAAAAAATTATGATTTCATGATCTATATTGCAATTTTACGGTATCTTTTAAAAAGAAATGTTTCTTATTATTGAGAGTGCATTCATTACAAAGTAGATAACAAAATAGATTTTAAGAATTATAATAGACATAGTTAGTTATCTCGTTTGAATTGTTTTATATTTGTCATTTTGGGGCCTTTTATAGATGACTATGCGGTGTGGGTTTTGCTCATTGTTGAAGGCTGTATTGTGACCTATAGTTGGTAGCTTCTATGTCATTTGGTCTCTTGTGAAGAGTTGTCTCATTGGCAATCATACAACATCTTCTTATTTTCATATAACAATGTGACAAACTGATTTTTTTTGTTAGATAGAAGGAAAACTTTCAACGAAAAATATGTTTATGTTAGTTGGCGAAAAAAAATTGAAAGTGGCAAAAAATATATTGTTTTGGCGAATGAGGTGGCGAAAAAGAAAATTGACCCAGGGGAAACCCTGTTTACAACTATAAATTGGAAGTTGAGGTCGGTTTAAGACACAACTTTAGGACAACAGAGATGATTTTATACTCCGAATTGTGAACTTTCCATTTCATATATCTCCTTTTTGATACAATATTTTAGAGCTTGCGTTTCCCATAGCTTGTTTTATTTTTTTGACTGATTTTTTTGACTGATCGTTGCTGCTTACAAAGAAGCTATTGAACCAACTATTCAAAGTGATAAAGTTGACGTCATCCCTTCGTAGGTTTTACGGACGCCATCACAAGTTGACGAACCGGTACCGATATGGTACATCTGTGACACAGATGACAGGAATATGTCCTTATTGTCGTAACCACTATCTTATACTCTTTTTTTCCTGGATTGTGACATTACCGAATGAAACATTACCGAATTTGAACTCACCATGAGCATCCCCCGTGCTGCATGTGGAACAAGATCTCCGTACTCTACTTGTCCACCTGAGATCATCCCCGAGTTTAAGAGTTGCACAGTCTTTAGTTTTGTATATAGTGTTGTATAGACTGTTGTTTGTATTTTCGTCGGTGTTCGGTGTTTTGTTGTCTTAGCCAGGTCTCTTAGACTTATGAGTTTAGAATGTTCCTTTGGTATCTTCCTCCTTTTTTCATGTTCCATTGTGAACTACTAGTATGTTTCCTATTTGTAGGTAAATCAACTTGTTTCCAAGGTTATATACATTATGTTTCAACTAATATCGATATATTTCTAAAAAAAATTTTTCAATTAAAACTCAAATGATAGAAGATACCGAAGGAATTCAAATTCTTAAAAAAGTCGAAAACAAACTCCATTGCAAATTAAAAAAAGAAAACATTTTCGCAAAACTGTCGAAAACAAGCGTTTAAAAAAAATATTTCAAAGAAGACCTATGCGATGGTAACCTATAACGTAAATCATTACAGTTATGCATGAGTACCAGTGTTCATTCAAATAGCTACCTCAATTTCATGAATATCATAAATGAAATGCAGAAATAAATTTCAAAAATGATATTTTTTCAGGAACTTGTACATAAATCTGATCACCAATCTAGATGCGAATTTATTCCACGGGTCGACGGCTCTTGGAATCTTGTAAGAAAATTGGTTCTGCTAAAAATAATTTTCGCCATTTGTTGCTGCTGTACTGTCACATTATATATCAATTCTCCTTCTATTCAAAAATCATGTAAAATTGCGTTCATTTTGTAAGGGTATACCTTCTACTTGCTTAGTCCAATTTTTGAAATATCCTTTTGGCGTGGCTCGGTATTTATACATCCCGCCATTGTGATATTGTGCTCTGGTAAATATGTGCATACTTGTCTTTCATTTTTGCTGATGTGCTTTGTCTATAGAGTGTCTTTATGCCATTTTGTTTTTCTATGTCGACATAGTTGTTTGCTTTTATATAATTATTAAGATTGTAACACAATGTTGACTGCTGTACCCAAAATTTTTGACATTTTTACCTATTATGTCTGTTTGTTTTGCTCACAGATTGTTGTCATTAAATGGAAATCAATGCGTTTGTCATACAAGTGAGAGGTTTATCTCGCTATAAAATCAGGTTTAATTCACCATTTTCTGCATAAGAAAATGTCTGATTTCTATCGTGCTGTCTTTTTGGATTTTGAAAAATATTTTTCAATTTTTGTAGAAACATATGCATTTCGTTAAGAATATAATTTCGTCATCCATTTAAGGTGTTTCTTTAAAAAGAAATAGAAATATGGGGGTATAGAATCTTTTGAATGAAACAATGTGATAACTTTAGGAATCCGAATAAAGTGAATATAAATGTTTCATTGTATATTCCTATGGCAAACTAGTTAATAAAAGTAGGGTAAACATTGTTCTCATTAAGTTGAGACCAAATCTTAATACCGTAGTAAATTTTCATACTATTTCTATGCTAATTGTTAGCTTCTAGTATTTTTTTTTCTATTTCTAAATCAATTAACTTGTTTCTAAAGTTATTTGAATGATGTATGAACTAATATCAATATGTGTCAATACCACTCAGCTGGTGACAGAATCTAGACGTTTTCAGATCTAAAATCATTTTTGTTTTCCAATTAAAGCTATTAAAAGTACCCAATTTCGCAAAGTAAGGTCTATATACTCATGATTAAGGAAGGAAATCTTTTGTATAACAATAACAAATGCCTTGGTAAACGATTAAGATGAAAATGCTGCACTACTTAATGAAATTTTATGGCTTTTATATGGGCCACTAAAGTTACAGAGTTGATAACATTGTTTATTGGCATGAAGGTATTATTCGTTGATTTCAGAAGAAGCCAATTAAATCTTTCTGGTATCGACCTAATTTTGCATGCTTGCTCAAAACTCCATCCATTTAACTCATTCTTAACTAGCTTTGGACATGTGAAATATGTGGGGTATAAATATATGATGTCAAAAGAGCCCAAGTTAAGTCTAACTACAATGGCATTGACATAGTTGTCTTAAATATCATCATTTAGATAATTGTATTTTATTACATTCATCATTAATAAATCGCTTAAACTGTCTGTCTGAGATCAAGATTTTTGTCGAGCCTGCGACTTTTGTCGCAGAAAGCTCGCCATAGGGAAAGTGATCCGGCGGCGGCGGCGGCGTAAGCTAACTTCTTAAAAGCTTTATATTTTAGAAGGTGGAAGACCTGGATGCTTCATACTTTGTATATGGATGCCTCATGTTACGAAGTTTCCGTCAGTCACATGTCCAAAGTCCTTGACCTCATTTTCATGGTTCAGTGACTACTTGAAAAAAAAATTAAGTTTTTTTGTAATGTTAAATTCTCTCTTATTATAAGTAATAGGATAATTATATTTGGTATGTGCATACCTTGCGAGGTCCTCATGCCCGTCAGACAGTTTTCACTTGACCTCGACCTCATTTCATGGATCAGTGAACAAGGTAAAGTTTTGGTGGTCAAGTCCATATCTCAGATACTATAAGCAATAGGTCTAGTATATTCGGTGTATGGAAGGACTGTAAGGTGTACATGTCCAACTGGCAGGTGTCATCTGACCTTGACCTCATTTTCATGGTTCAGTGGTTATTGTTAAGTTTTTGTATTTTGGTATGTTTTTATTATACTGTATGCAATAGGTATACTATATTTGGTGTATGGAATGATTGTAAGGTGTACATGTCTAGCTGGCAGGTGTCATCTGACCTTGACCTCATTTTCATGGTTCAGTGGTCAAAGTTAAGTTTTTGAGTTTTGGTCTTTTTTTCTAATACTATATGCAATAGTTCAACTATATTTGGTGTATGGAAATATTTTATGATCTATATGTCAGTCACGCAGGTTTTATTTGACCTTGACCTCATTTTCAAGGTTCATTGCTCAGTGTTAATTTTTTGTGTTTTTGTCTGTTTTTCTTAAACTATAAGCAATAGGTCAACTATATTTGTTGTATGGAAGAATTGTTAGCTGTACATGCCTGCCTAGCATGGTTCATCTGACCTTGACCTCATTTTAATGGTTCATTGGTCAATGTTTAGTTTACTTGGTTAATGTTAAGTTTATGTGACAGTTGTAATAAAGTTTTATATTTAGGACTATCAACATAATATCATTGATTAGTAAAGAAGGCGAGACATTTCAGCGTGTGCACTCTTGTTTAAGTTTTAGAGCAGAGTTTGCAGATTTACTGTAAAATTCATGTTCATCGATATGACTCAAATTCTCATATTTGATTTATAACATACTAAAATGTAGTTCAAAAGAACAATCAACAGTGTATGAACTCTTTATAATGTATTAGAATTCCTTGCCTTTATTTAGACTAGACGGCATATTATTAGCCATCACGATAACCTCCGAAGAATGCGATGGCTCATGACTCGATTCAAATGCAAAAACAATACGTACAATCGTAAAATGTAGATTTTTCTTGGTCTATTTGATGTTTGAATCAATAAAATAAATAAGTATTTTTTACCTGTATAAGAATGTCTTATCAGTCAACTAAGTTGTTCTTTCCGGTGGTTTCCTTGTTTCGCTTTTCAAGGTCCTTTTTGGTAATATAGCTCTTCAACTGTTTAGGTACTTATACATCCTTGGCTTTCAAATATTCGGCTTTTCGTGTTCCTAATGAAGGTAAATCTAGAAAAGTGCTTCGGACGCATGAAATTTATAACGTGTTGTTTTCATTTTTTTCAATGTTGGTGTTCTTTTCTTTTTATGATTGAACATGATTTGCACATGCATAACCCAGCTATAGCGTATGGTTCTACTGAATGTTGCACGAGTACAGTTTCAAATGAGGTTGCAAGCAAATAGCGATATTTTTTTACATAATGGAACCAAAATTAACGCTTTTTTCCGAAACATTGCTTCAAAAATCCACTTTTATAAATTTTGAAACAAAAACAAAAATCTAATTTTACTTTTCTATCTAAATCGTAGCTAATTGCCATAAATAATCATTTTAGCCATACATAAGTAAAAACTATTTATTGTATTAACATTTGTCAGTAGGTATACAATATTTTACCTCGCTTTTAGTTGCTTACTATTTTCTACGTAAACCGGTTTTGTAATGGACTATCGCAAATGTAAAGAAGAAAATTATTTCAAAAATGATATTTTTCAGGACCTTAAACAGCAATCAAATTACCACAAATGACCAAGCTAGATGGGAATTTATTTCAAGGCTTGACTGCTCTTCAACACTTGTAAGTAATTTGATTCTGATTTAAAAAAATCAACTACTATGCGTTGCAGGTTTGCCGTCTCATTACGTCTTGCATCCCTTTGTCTTTTGTTCGTTTATAGATTTTTGCCATGCTTTTGTCAGTTCGTCATCGACTTATGAGTTATGATCATTCTTTTGGTTTCTCCTTTGATATCTCCCGCTTCTTTTTCACGTAAAATAACATTCTTTGAATGTAATTTCTTTAGCTCTTTCTTTTCTGATTTTTAATAACGTTTCTCAATATTCCTAGAAATATATGTATTTTGTTTTAATATAATTTCGTCGTACGTTATGTGTGCAATTTGTAAGAAGTAAAAAGAAAGCTTGGTTGAATGATGTTAATTGATAAAAAAGAAAAATGAAGATCATCTAGAATTTGGTCAATACTGATGTTTCACTATCATTATATGACCAAATTGCTAACAGGAAACAGGAAAGATATAATTTTAATAAAGTAGACATTAAATATTCCTACAGAACAATAACATATATGTTTCAATATTCAAATTTATCAATATCCTTTGCGATAAAACTGGTTCGAAACCCCAATTGATGACTCATATTTTTGTTGTTCACAATTATATAGTTGCCTTTAACTAGTGTGCATGTTTTCTTTATCTTTTTCTTTTCCGTTCTCATTTATTCTTAAGTTTTTATGAAAAGGAAATAAAAATGAGAGTTGAAAAACATTTTTGGGAATGTTATTTTTACTGTTCAGTTGATAAAAGGAGCTTTAAGGCAAGATGCAAAAGAGGATACATAAGTGTTTTGATTAAAAAACTTTAGGCCATCTGAATTTTGTCTACGAGGGGCGAAAGATACCAAAGGGATATTCAAACTCACAAGTCGAAAATAAACTGACAACATCATGGCAAAAAAAAAGAAAAACGATTATAAGACAACAGTATACAAAACACAACATAGAAAACTAAATACTAAACAACACAAAAAACCTCCAAAAACCGAGGATGATCTCAGGTACTTTGGAAGGATAAGCAGATCCTGCTCTACATGTGGCACCTGTCGCGTTGCGATGTAAGTTCAAACCCGGTGATAAGTCAAATTTGGGAGGTCACATTCCAGGAAAAGTGGACGGGATTGTGGTTATGACAATGTGAACATATCAATGTAAGATATTCACTGTACTTTTTGTATGACAAATAAATTAACAGGAGCAGAGAGGACCTGGTTATTATAAAATTGAATTCAACCACCAGTGATATCGAGATAGTGCTAGTAAATGGAAATAACACTTGATTCATGTCGTGCGTCTGAAACGCCTTTCTGGATTTACCTTCACCAGGAACGCTTTAACACATATACGTGAAAACCAAGAATACATAAGATTTAATAAAGCACTACATTTCAATCATTTGTTTTTTTCAGGGAACTGGACGGCAATCAGATTACCACATTAGAATCGAATTTATTCTAAGGCATACGGCTCCTGAAATCTTGTAAGTTAACTTATTTAGGAAACAATAATTTGGCAACATATGCTGCTGGTGTGCTGTTGCATTATATCTCAAATTTACGTTCTTCATATTTCAAAAACAGTAAAATTACATTTTGTGAATGTTATTCCTATAGTTTTTTTTCATTTCTCATCTTGAAAAACTTTCGCAATTTTCCTAGAAGTATGAATATTTCGTTTTATATAATATTGCCATTTGTTTCAAGTGTGCCATTTCGAAAAAAAAAATAGGTTCCTTTTAATCTCGTAAGATCATTGATAATAAACTTGTGATCATATGAATTTTGTCGATGGAGGTGAAAAGTAGGAAAACCATAATCAATCTGACGCTTGCTACTCTAACAAGGAAACGGAAAAATCACAATAATTTTTGTAACTTTGCAAATCATATTAGAAATATCAGTTACTATTTGCACAGATTTTCAATCTGTAATTGTAAAATATTGGTTGAGCAATACGACAAGGTGCCATAAGAGCCTTATTTTTTACTAAAATTTGAATTTTTGGTTGAAGATTTCCATTTATGTCTCTTCTAAAGTTAAGGTAATAAAAAATGAATAAAGGTAGCTTTTAATCTATGTGGCACGGAAAAAACCCTTCTACGCGTTCTCGTGAACAATTATCATTGATTTGGGTAATTTTTCATATAGTTATAGGTTACAATTGAGAACATATGAGTACAGTGGAATAATTTACTACAATATTTGTCAATATGAACAATTCCTTTAATATAAATATGTGTATGGTACTTGCATGTACTCAATATTGCGAACTCTTAAATATGTGTCGAAATAGGCAACTTTTGTCATTTTTTGGTAGAACCGACAAATCTCCATGAATTTTCACACTTTTTCAAATATCTTACAGTTAAAACTATACACATACCAAAATCACATGACATTGTGTGTTGCATATGTTTCCAAGCCAAGTAGGCCCATAGCGCATCTCTTCCTCTGTTTAACTGCCAAATCGTCGTTGTAACTGATTTATATGTTGTATAATACCTGCTCAATATTTCCAACTTTTAGATATGTGTCGAAAAAGGCAGTTTTTTTTTTCATTTTTTGAGGTAAAAAAGTTTAAATTAAGCTAGCTTTTAACCGACAAATCTGCATTAGTATTCATACCTTTTCAAATATCTTACAGTAAAAAACTATGAATACATGCATTGTATTTCTATTGTATCAGGGAATACCTTTATCTACAAGACATAATCAGATGGTTCGTTTACCGAAACATTCTTTTAACAAAAAAGTTTGTTTTATGTAAAAGGGCAAAAGTTTACATCAAAATACATGATACATAATTTCCCAAACAGTAGAGTCCAACTATAATCTTCAAATTGCATTTACATCTAAGAGTGTAAAAAATAATGATTTCGTTGTGTACGGGAAATATAGTATATGCTTTAATAGTGCCTTTCTACTTACGCAAAAAAAACTACGCAAATAATGGTTTTTACATTACACTTGCGAAACGATTCAACCGATAAAAAAGCCACCGAAAACATGTATTTCAAGTTAGGCACATTTACTAATGCACCAACCATTCAGCTTTTATGGGGCATGTGTTTTATTAAATAAATTGAATTTCATGAAACAAAATGCTTTCAGGTGTGAGATAAAATAAATTGTTTGCTTCTGTTAAAAAGAAGAGTAAAAACATTAATATGACTTGAGTTTTGAAAAAAAGGTTTCTTGTTCCTGCTTGTTATCTTGTTATTAACGAAATTGTAAGTTTTTAAGTGTCTGTTTGAATGTCAAGTTGACTTTACTGAATTAATATTGATGACATCAAAAATAAAATCTAAGGTATTTATACAAAGCAGAAATGTTGTATACAAAAGAAACTAGTGTATTGATTTTTCTTTAACAGGAAAAACAGAGTCAGCAGTACCGATGTCACTTAGAACTTATAGAAAAGTGTGTCTTAGACCAAAAGTTGATTGCGGGGCGTTTTTAAGAGTAAACACATAACAATATAAAGCTATTAATACATGTCATCCTTTTAATTTCCCTTGTAAATATATATGTGTCATATATACTAGTATGTGCACGATTGTAGATATTTTAGAAATAAAATGTACTGTATCATTAATCTGTGTTCTAGACTATATCTTTTTGGACTACAAAAGTTTTCGAAAACAATTGATTTTGTGGTTTCAGACAAAACTGGGGTTTTTGTATTTTAAAATTCTAAATGTTTTGTAAATATTGGAATTATAATGTCGGTCCGTTATAATTTATTTGAATACTATAGGCTACAAATAATTTTCTGAGTCTATTGTACATTCATACGCTGTATTAAATCTGTAGTGTTATAATTTTATTTGTTCAGTATGTTTTCACTTACGCCTTCACTTGTATAATATTTATTTCACAGTTTCAGGACTGCCTGTTCAGTGTTATTTCAAGACATTTTTGTCAGTACCACTTCAGTGCTAATATTCTTTAGTACTTTGTTTAGAACGGAACTTTTCAGTCCGCTTTAGAACTGATTTAGCACCATCAAAAATTCTTATTTTAAGTGTAATCTATACAACCAAATTAATTTCAGAAACAACAAAACTTTAAGTGTAATGCATGATGATTTCTTTATTTATATGCAGTTCAATATGCCCCACATGGTTGCAAAATTTCCAATAATATAAAAATAAGCAGATGTGGTATTATTGCCATGAGACAAGTGGATGTAAGCAATCATAGGCAACAATACGGCCTTTAATAATGAGAAAACCCCATAACGTATAGTCGGCTTTAAAAGGCCCGGACATGAATAATATGAAACAATTCATTTGAGAAAACTTTTGATTTAATTCATAATAAAAAAAAAATAAACGAAGAACAAATATGAGAGACATGATCCAACGACAACCACTGAACTACAGGCTCCTGACTTGGGACAGGCACATATAGAATGTGGCAGGGTTAAACATGCTTAAAGGCGCTTTACCTCCTCTAACCTGGGACAGTGGTGTTACAGTTCAACATAAGATCAAACTTTAAAAATCAGTTCAAAAGGGCTTAGCTCATTAGATCGATACAAAGCAGAAGACCGGACGTGGCAGTGTATTTATACATCCTTAAAAAACAAAAAAGACACAAAGTAGAGGTCTGAGAGTACTCACAGTTACTGACAGCTAGTACAAAGCCAATAACAACTAATAAAAAAAATGTAGCTAAGACTTAAATATCAAAAAGTACACATCTAACATCACATGGATTTATTGTTAAGACGTCATCAACTGTCAGAGAAAAACATGACCTTTTGCAATGCCAAAATATAGGCATCGCCAGATTGTAGTACCGTGAATGTGCATATGTGTTTAACAATAATATCTAGAGTGGTTTTTCACTTACTGATGACAAAATCAATATTTATACCAATAAAAACAATATTCAAAAATCTTATTACAGTGTTGATTTAGTAACCTCTCAGAATAAGTTTATGTAAAGGATTCATAAGTTTACAGGTACAGCCAAATTTGCAAACCAAATCTTTGAATCTATGGAAGAATTTAATAACGGTTTTAAGTAATTTGTGATAACGAAATCCCTGACTTAATAATTTACCAGTAATACATAGACTTCTTCTCACCCTAAATAAACTCTACTATATGGTAGCAATCCCTTCAATGGGAAATAAAAAGAAGAAAGCAGATTTCTATATTCTGTAATGAGTATTCCAAGAATGTATACGGACGGTCTTTCTATACCAACCGTGCTCTATTTGATATATTATTACCTGAAGTAAAAGATAAAAAAAAAAGCCTAAGAATGAACATGAATTTGGGGAATGTTCTCAAGTTTTCATGTTTTTTTTTTATTCACTTTTATGGTCACTGTTTGCTTTTTTCTTTAAATGGAAACAAATGTTGCAACAAATAGTGTTTGGGATGTAGCCAATATTCAAGAGAAAGAGAACAATGGTCCATTTTTTGTGTATAAAAAGATGTTAAAAAATCATTATCGGAACGTAAGTCACAATTTGTAATAATATGATGGTTTCCAGTAGGCCAATACATGTTTTTTTATCGACCTATAATTGCTTTTTCGGTTGTATATTTTCATTTGGTCGATATAAACTTATATTGGCCTCTTTTAAAAGCTACACACAATAGCTAAGGATATCCAAACTCGAAGACAACCTGACAACTCCATGACAAAAACGAAAAACGATGAAGAGACAAACATCAATGTACAAAACACAACCAAGAAACTAAAGACTGAGCAACACGAACCCCACATAAAAGCCGGGATTGATTCCAGGTGCTCTGGAAGATTATGAAGATCCTGCGACCCATGTGGCACCTGTCGTATTGCTCATGAAAATACAAATTCAAGGGAAAGTCTCATTCGAGGGAAAGATGACGGGGTTGTGGTTTTGGCAATAAGAACATACCCGTCGTAATCTGTGAATATTTTATGACCATAATACTGTCAACTCGTTATGGCGTCCTTGGAAGTTACGGGGTATGAATTTTACTTTACCACTTGGAACCGTTTGTTTAATTGCTTCTTAGTAAGCAGCAACCCTCTATCAAGGAAATCATGATAGGAAACTCATGCGCTTGAATTTCGTATCAGCTGGGAGATATATACTCCATATGCAACGGGCAAAGATAGAATGGTTAAAAGCCTTGGACAGAAAAGTTCGCAACTGGACTATCATTTCACGCTTGAATGACTTTGGATAATTTATATGTCACAGGTCATTGAATCTTACACAGAAAAGAACCTCCAAGAAAATTTGAGTCACATTAATTTATTTCATCTATTTTTCAGACAATGGATTTGAATCAGTTCATGGCTCAATAGTATAGGATTCTAGTGAAAAAGAAGGCCAGAAAAAAATAAAAACTTTAGTAGCGGACCGGAGGTCCTCATATCAGTGCACAAGTTGTTCGTTTAAAACCAAATTGCCAAGTAGTTTGTATAGCACAACAAGATCCAAAATAATCATTTACAAAATTATGACCTGTGTGAATCGAAGTTCCAAGATAAATTGCTATTCAATGAGCATATAAAATATAAACTGTAGAGGGCCTGTTCTGTTATCATAATTCTAAACGCGTTAAAAGAACAGGTATGGCATACCGTATGAAAAAAGCAACAGGAGTTTTAAGCATTCAAAACAACATAGAGTGCCAAAATGAAAACAACAAACATCAGTTTTATTTGTGAAAAATGTTATTTGCAACTACAAATTGCCTTAAAGAGTCACAAACTAAGGGGAAATAGAATTACCCATTCATTAATGTCAAGATGTTGGGAAATAAAGGCAACAGTAGTATACCGCTATTCGAAATTCATAAATCGATTGAGAAAAAAACAAATCCGGATTACAAACTAAAACTGAGGGAAACACATCAAATATAAGAGGAAAACAACGACACAACAGAAACTCAACACTAAAATGCAACACACACAGAAACGAACTATAATATAACAATGGCCATGTTCCTGACTTGGTACAGGACATTTTAAGAAAAAATGGTGGGTTGAACCTGGTTTTGTGGCTAGCCAAACCTCCCGCTTTTATGGCAATGTTAAATATAACATTAAAATGACAAGATTACATGACAGAACTACCATACACATAAATGGGAGAACATACAGGACAGAGACACACACAAATAATAGCTATCAAAAGGTACCAGGCTTATAATTTAATACACCAGACGCGCGTTCCGTCTACATAAGACCCATCAGTATAACGTATAGATGGTCAGCAAGTTGAATAAATAAATAGAAATGTTATATGATATAAAATATATAATAAACATTTGTCATTTTAATTGTCTACGTTTGCATATCGTCAATATAAATTCCAGCACGAATATGTGTTAATATGTTTAACTCATGTTGTGTGTAGCGCTTTCCTCGTACACATGTAGTTCCCTTTGACGGCTCTCCGAGACAGCTTATGATTCCTTTCTTTCTTTTTTGATCAGCTTGTTTTATTTCTGACTGCTATAAGACATGATCTCTATGTGTAAAGAAGAAAAACGAGTTCATAAACTGCAGGGGCAGATCCTACCATTTTTAAAACAGGGGGGGGGGGGGTTCCGAACCCAGGATAAAGGGGGGTTCCAACTATATGTCCCCATTCAAATGCATTGATCGTAAAACAATAGGGGGGGTTCCAACCCCCGGAACAACCTCCTCCCCCCCCCCCCCCCCCCCTGGATCCGCCACTTTATCATCAAATGATTATTGTCAGTTGTTGCATAATCAATTATCACATAAATTCACAATGAAGATTCATCACATCTCCAAAATTCCAACATTGAAAATAATCGCATCGCGTTTATGGCTGAAATAGATTGCTTTCAATAATCGATATTTTAGATTATGTTGTTTTAATGACACATTTTTGGACCGTATTCCTGTAATTGTGCATTTAAAAGTCATATTCTAATTAAATTATGTCACAGTTACCTTCATATCAATATTTTGGTATTTTCAAAACGTATGCAAACAAAGTTTTGCCCATCATCCTTTATTGTACAATTATAGTTTAAATAGTCGCGCATGACAGTGAGAATAAACTATCTGGGTCCGCACTTTGTATACAGTGATAATGTCTATAGTGTGTTCAATTGCTGCGTTTGATATTGAATTATTCAATGTCTCAGGAAAGTCAGTTTGAAATACAGGTGATATATTATTGTAAATTAATTAAGCCAGTTCATCAAAGATTTTTGTCTTTCAAAAGTTCTGTTTAAATCCTGGTACAAACTTTAAATATCTGCATATTAAATAATCACTTAACACTGTGGATATCAATTGAAACTGATAACTATGATTTTAACATTTATTTTAAGTAATCTGATTATTTCACAATTGTCTCTTACAGAGATATATAATTAAGACGTTTTTCGACGAGTACATTGAATTTCTCGTTTTTAAATTTTTACTGCAGGTGTAATGACTTTATGGATTTAGATCTACTCGAATTTATTTTGACATATGAACTTGACAGTAGGATAACTGAAATTAAAACATCTACTGCTTTGTCATATATAAAAGTGAACAAAGCAGCAACCTTAAATAATATCTCTAATACTGTGTTAGAATATGGTCAAACATCTTTACTACCATGTTTCTTCAAAACTTTTAATCTTTGTCTTTCTTTCGAAAAATATCCATCCTGGAAAACAGTTTATTTATACCCAACTCCTAAAGGAAATGGTGCAGGTGGTGCTAATAATTATGGAGGAATCACAATTACTAATTTATTGGGGAAGGAAGCTCTG